TGACTTGATCTAATTTCAATAAGACTTACTCAATAAAATAAAAACTTATTCTAAAAACAATGTATCATTTAGTAGGATTCTTTTTTTTCTTTTTGTATAATAATTTATACTACAAAAATTTATTGTTTTATCAAAACAATTAAATTAATATTTAATATTATGAAAAATGTTAATCGAAATTCTAATTTCTATTATCTGAAATTTACATTTTTGCAGTAGTACTATCCAACTGTACTATATGGTGTAATTTACAAACAAAATTCAAAACCTTTTGATATATACAACATGACATTTATCATTTTTGCTATTAACGATAATTCTCCTATCTAATATTATTGATACATGACAATCTACGTAAAAGTGTGTAAAATTATGGATAAATATAGAAACGTATGAGTCATTCATTATATACAAAATAAAAAATGTTATATTCATATGAAGTAGGAACTGTTTCTTTATAAATTACAAATAAAAAAGCAATCAATCTTTGCTTATGTAGTTTATTTTACTATGAAAAAAAAAAGAAAAGTACAAAAAAATAATAGATCATATAGTGAAAAAAAATAATTGTTACACTTCAATAGTTTTTTAGTCAGGTTTTCTTATGATATATTTGACATTGCTTATTCTTCAACATACGTCATACCTCCTACGTCTCATTCGTACTTCAATCATAGGCAAACGTAAAGAACGAAAAATCATGTTTCTTTCGAACAAAATACATTTACGTTGTCATAAGTTCTTATATATTAATATTTATATATATATATTTTTTTTATTGTGCATAAACATATCTAATTATCAACATATATGGATAATAAAATAGAATTTGACATTTCATCCCATGATGGTCTTCGACTTGCTGGTTATAATTGGTCATCTTATCAACATTCAGATTCACCAATTGCTGTAATAATATTTTTACATGGTGTTGCAGAACATTGTGGACGATATAAACATTTTACACATTTTTTTAATGAAAATAATATAGCAGTAGTTTCAATGGATCTTCGTGGTCATGGTTTAAGTGAAGGAGAACATGTTTTTATACCAACAGCTGAAGCTATATATAAAGATATTGATTTATTAATAGAAGAAACACGATATCGATATCCATCATGTCCAGCTATTCTTTATGGACATTCAATGGGTGGATGTTTAGCATTATCTTATACACTTAATCGATATCCTAATGTATCAGATAAATGTCCATATCAAACAATAATAGTATCAAGTCCTTGGATTCGTTTAGCTAGATTTCTTCAACCTCCTTATCCTATTCATTCAATAATTCAAACAGTTAGTCGAATTAGTCCATCATTAAGATTTCCACTTCGATTTAAATCAACTAAAATAACACGTGATGAAAATATTGCTTATTCTTATAATGAAGATCCTTATATACGTCGATCAGCAACATTATCACTTGCTCATACAATGGGTAGTCAAGCAAAAATGCTTGATCAATCAAAATGTATATTTCATATACCAGTTTTAATTCAACATGGAACTGCTGATGCAATAACAAGTCATGATGCAAGTTTAAAATTTGCTCATCGAGGAAAAAATATTTATTTTAAAAGTTGGCCAGATTGTTATCATGAATTACATAATGAACCTGAAAGAGAAGAAATATTTCATTTTATATTACATTGGATTTATGAAAAAATTATTGTTTAGATTATAATTCTACTTCAAAAAAAAAACAAAAAAAGAAAGATATTATTATATGTATTATATTTTACTTTTTTTTCTATTTTGTATATATTTGTTGATTTTTTTTTATCTATTATTTTATTCTAAAATTTAAAAAAACAAAAATATACATATTTGTGTTAATATTACTAATCAGTTATCATTTTGTAACTAGATTTTTTTTTTCATATTGTATTGTTTATCTATGAGAGTATGCCTTTTTTATTTCCTTCAATTACAAATACTTGACAGCGTAGACTAATTGAATGGTTCTCTTCTTCTCTTTTTGTTTCTGTCTACCATACTTTGTTTATTTCTTAATATATTAATATAAAATAAGAAGATTATGAAATGTACCATATCTAATGGCATATTCATCTTAGATAATAAATAAAACTGAGAAAATAAAAAAATTATGTTCATTATTATTTTCTTTTAATCTCAAGTCATATCTACACTATACGAAAGGAAATATATTGATCTACTATAAAAGTTAATCATGTTATATATAAACTCAATACAACCATATTGACAACATATATTTATTATTAATTCCGCCTATCGATAATGAATAAAACATTTGTAATTATTGTACTGAAAAATTTGTCACTAATTAATCAACATATATATTAATTTGAAAATAAATATGTAAAAGAATGATATAATAAAATTATTGTTTTATTTAGATACAATATTGATATATAAACAAAAAGAAAATTTTTTTGTAAAATATACAACAGAAAACCGATATTATCTTTTGTAAATCGTTACATATGAGAATTTAGATATCAAATGATGTAAATTCGACTATTTTCAAATTTCTCATTCAATAAATAATCTTTGTCTTATTCTATCTCGTTGATTATCTTGAATGATAGAACAATACTTTAAACTAAACTGTAAATTATTAGAATACTAGTTGAAATGCTGTATATCTTAACATAAATAATCTATAGTGCAAAAGTCTTCACACAGAATATTCGCTCATTATAAAAGACAACTTGTTACAGTCAGAATGAGAATTTTTCGCTATTTTCGTATATATATTCAGATCATTTTTATTTTTTAAGGTAAGTTCAAAATTGTATCTATATGAAGTAAGAGATTACAATAAAACGAAATCTCATCTATGCGCTTCCACTAAAGAGCAAGTTTCTATGGAAATCGACATAAGTAAAAAAAAAAGAAAGTAATTGGTTTTAAAAAATACAAAAGTAAATAGTACGCTTTTGTAAAGCAACAAAACTATTTCGTATTTTAAATTTGATAGATTTCAATCAAAACAGTATTTTATGCAATCATTATTTTCAAAACAATTTGATCATAGTTGTCTAATCTTAATTCAAAAGGAAATTCTAAACATATATTCAGAAATAACCAAAAAATTACTTCTAGCACTAACTCACTGCCTTTAACTAGCTGAAAAATGAGTGAAGATTTTGTGCGAAGACTTTGATGCTTTAGTTTTTTAATAAAATCAAAGAGAAAATTTATTTCAACATAAAAAAAAAAAAAAAATATATCTTATTTTTATTTTCTAAACTTTAATTATTATCTAAGGTCAATATAAGATGTCGAGTATTTCATACTCTTCTTCTTGTATATAATATATTAAGAAATCAAAAGCAAGAAATTCAAATACAGCCTTCAACAAAATTCGCTACAATATTTTCCGACAGGTCGTCTAACCTTAATAATTACATTTGTTTTTTTATTTTTTCTATGAATAAAAATACAATGTAGGACAATTATTGTCTATAAGATGAATTTGATTTATACAAAAAAATAAATAACATTTATTATCCTAGTCGAGCTTAAAAAAGAAACATCTTTTCATTTTCATGTTTCATTTATAACTAAAGGCGTTATTTACTCTTAATATGTGTCATATGGTATCATTAATAGAGTTCACTATCAATAAACCATTTCTCTATGTATAATAAATAATTTGTACTGATTTCATTTTAATCGAGATATTGAATGATGATGATTGTAATTTATTAATATTCGAAATTATTAACTATAAAAATATAACATACTATGATTTTTTTTTTCTGTATATTAATAAAGCTAAATAAAGTACTCGATATTTATATATATATAACAAGCACGTCTATACGTCTGAAACAAAGAGAAAAGAATGTAAGAAGATAAATAAAGCACTTCTACTTTATTTGGAGGAAAAACAACATCATATATAGAGAAACAAAAAAAAAAAAAAGATATATAAATATCTTTTCTTTCTTTAAATGCCTAAGAAATAAAACAAACAATGAACAAAACAAATCTCTTAACATATATTGTGATTATAAATATGTCAATAGAAATATAATATAAATAAAGGCAAAAGCCTCGAGATGAACTTATATGAATATCATAACAAATCTATTGATTATCTTACAAAATAAATCCATCTATAGAAGGAAAAATAATGATAGACAACTAGTTACTCAATAAGATATAAGAAAAAGAAAGAACAATAGTAGATAAATCTAACAGAACGCCTGATATATGTCTTATCCTAAGTTGATTTGTCGACAAGAAAGAATCATTTGACGTTATAAAAACACTTGGTAATTGCTTATACACATTTATTTTCATCATTGTTAACGTTATCATTTGTCTATTGAGTTGATTATAGTTTGTTTTGTTTTGATTAGAATCTATTTATTTAAATACAAAACAAAAAAAAAGTTAATTTCATCAAATAAAAAAAAAGGTAAGTTGATCTCTTTCAATAACAACAATCACAGCAAGATAAATTTATGAATAAGAATGTTTATTTATTATTCTCATTAATATCTTACTTTTAATTGCGACCTTGTTCTTCATCACTCATCATTTATAGAGAAAATAGTAGTACTTGATATAAATGTTGTTCTTTTTTTTTTTTCCTAACAAATATCAACAATCTTTCATCTCTTACCATTGACATTGGCCATCTTTGATTATTTAAGGACAAATATCTTATTTTGCTTCTTTTTTTTTTTTGTCTTACTAATTTTTCCAATATTAGCAAAAAAAAAAAAAGGATAATCGACCTGGAGAGGTCTTATTAAAAAGCTAGAAAGACAAGAAAAAAAGAAATGCGCGAGGTGGTTACATTAAAGATCTAGACACTAGTAATAATAGGCAAAGAGAAAAGAACGATTAAAGATGGTCTTCGATGACATATGCTTATTTGGAGAGAAACAGAGAAAATTGATGTGTATCATCATCATCGGAAGTACTTTCTATCATTCATTTCGAAAAACAAAACAAAAGTTATTATATAATTTCATTTTTCTTTAATTTTTAGTATAAATATGACAACAACACCAAATGAATTTCTTCAATTTGCTAAAGAAATGGGTCTCGGTCAAATAAAATCAACTTCATTAACATTATCAAATAATAATAATAATAATAATAATAATGGTTGTACACTAACTGGTTTATCTGTACTTAATAACTTATGTCATCTTATTGAAGACATACATAAATTAAAAGCTGAAAATGAACGTTTACGTGCTCATTTGGATTTAATTAATCAGGCCGAAAATTTTTTATTAAAAACTGAAGAAAATAATAAATTAATAAATCAAAAACAACGAAAAAAAATAATACATTCAACAGTATCCATTGATGATGGTGAAGGTGATTTATACGAAGAAAAAAGTTCGACACTATCACCATCAAATTCATTAAAAATTAAACAAGCTGATTTATCTACTCAATCATTAACGAATAGAGAACGACAGGGTATAGTAATTTAGAAAAATAAAAAAAAAAAAAAAGATTTTTTTTTCTTAAACTTGAGAAGAAAATTACAATTATATCTCTTACATTTCTAAGCAGACAAACAGATACACAATCATAGCAAATTATTTCGTACATTTAATGAAATCGATATTTATTTATTTTTTTGGTTCAATTATAAAAATCTTTATCTAATTGTCGATCTTTTGATATTTACTTTTTTTTTTCTGATTTTCTCGTTTGATACAATAAATCATTCTTATGTTTTGCAAAAGATTATTATTCATGTACAAAAAACAAAAAAAGGATATTCTAATGATTGATAGTAACAGAAACACTTCGTAGTTAATCAAAACTGTCAACTAAAATGATTTGATCTAACAACATATGTTATTTTCATAAAAAAAATTTTCTATTAAAAATAATATATATATCAGTATGTATTTCTTTTTTTTGTTTTTGTTTTAAAGGTGTGGATTTGATAAATAATCATGAAGATTTATCATCAATATCAGGTATTATTGATCATGAGCAATCAAAATTGATCGATAATAATTTAGGTATACAGAAAAAAAAAAAAAAACAGAATGATACTTTTTTATTTTATATATATATTTTTTTTCTTTTTTATCAGGTGTATCTAATTTAACAAATTGGAATAGAGTACGACATGCATTAAGATTTTCACTTCGACGAAAACCAAATTTACAAATGAGTCCTATATTAATTCATACAGAACGAACAATTCCTGTTATTAATATTTTAAATGATAATGATAATGATCATATACAAGATAATATTAATGAAAAGAAAAAAAAAAAATCTTTAATAAATATTGATAATCAACGAATTCTTACAGGTGAAGATACTGATCAAGATGATGAATGTATTGAATATAATAGAGTACAACATAAACGTCAACTTTACAAAAATTATCCAATTAATTCATCAAATAATGAACGACAAGATATATCAACATCAATTTTATTTAATCATTCATCGACACTTGATGATGATACTTTATTAAGTCGCAAACAATCGAGAATTGGTATATTAGATTTTCATTATTACAATTAGATGATATATATTTCTTGTTATAGCAATTTGGTAGATTTATTCTTTTTGTTTTTTTTTTTGTTTTGATGTCAATTATAGGATATAAGTGAAGATTATATCAATTATAGAGTACATAGAAATATTATTGGTGATAATCTCACCCTAGACAACTCTCAATAGAAAAATCCTCCAGAGATTCCTCAGTAATCAACGATGAAAATTACATCTACTATCAAGGGTCGTATATAATGTCTTTATCATTGTAGCCACATGTGCCGCGCTTGTCAATAAGGGACAACGTGACTTTCTATTTCGTTCTTTTATTCATAAATATAAAAATATCTAAGTCGATTTTCTTTAAAATAATATTTACCAGAGGTTTCAATGAGGGGTGAACTGAATTGAAGAAAATCGGCTCATGGATTATCGACCTTTGATCTAATTCGGTCAATAATTTTCTATTCAAAAATATTTTGGTTCGTGGACTAAATTCGACCTAATCCATTGAGACCTCTGATACTTACTATCGAAGTTGTTGATGAAATTGATATCAATAACAGAAGAAAAAAAATAGAACTAAATATTTTAAATTTAATACTTGCCATTGATGTTGTAGTTAAGTTGAATTGAAATAAACAATGTATAATTTTTATTTGTTAGCATAAAATTCAAATTGTCTACTATTTATTTTGTAATTCTAATTTTGTTTCTTAATAACAACCGGATATCCTTACAATAAATTGTTTGACTAGATCTCTTATATTTATGAACAGATGTAATGTAGTATATATTTAAAATGTTTATGTACTTTGTACAATAATATCACGAGGAAAAATAACTTCCTAAGGATTCACTAGTAGTAATTCTGCAAGGAAGATTCGACTAAGGTAATCACTCTTCTATTGATAAAAACTATTATATTTTAACTGATTCCTAAGGATATAATACTCAAAGACATTAATTATTGATTGCATAATATATATAAATAAACAATTATCTTATCTGTAATTTAATCTCTGTCACGATCGTTTATATATAGTATATTTTCAAAAGAAGCACAAAGTAGGAGAAAAAAGTTTAGTAAAAGATTTATTTTCTTAATTTCTTGTTATGAATAGTTTGTTAGAAATATCTAAATAGTGATTTTGATAGAACTTAAAGAGAGATCTACAAGATTGAGATATGAAAAATTTTTCGAGCATGGATATTTTAGTTATTATTAAGCAAAAACATTTTCT